GAACAGAGAAGAGATGAGACAGAGAGAAAATAGAGAAGAGAGAGGAGAAAAAGAGGAGAAAGGAGACAGAGAGAGAGAGAGAGAGAGAGAGAGAAAGTAGTGAAGAGAGGAGAGAGAGGAGACAGAGAAGAAAGTGGAGGAGGGAAAGAGAGAGAAAGGAGAGAAACAGAAAAGTAGGAGAGGGAGAAGAGAGGAAAAAGAAAAGAGAGAAAAAGAGAAAAGAGACAAAGAGAGACAGAGAGAGAGAGTAGACGGAGAAGAGAGAAGAGAGGAGAAAGAGAGGAGAGAGGAGACAGAGAGAGAAGAAAGTGGAGGAGGGAAAGAGAGAAAGGAGAGAGATAGAAAAGTAGAAGAGGGAGAAGAGAGAAAAAGAAAAAGAAAAGGAAAAAGAAGAGAGAGATAAAGAGAAGAGAGAGAGACAGAGAGAGAAGAGAGAGAGAGAGAGACAGAGAGGAGGGAGAGAGGAATTTAATACTTTTCAGAGTCCCTGTGTGTGAGAAGCATTTTTTTTTTTTTTTTTTTTTTTGCTGACTTCCAGCTCTGCCCAGCTTGGGGAACTCAGTCACTGGGGCTTGACTGCCAGCTCCACCCAGCTCACCTGGCAGTTTCTGCAGCTTAAGAAAGCTTTCTGACTCTTTGTAACGCAAATGCCCTGTTAGCACAGTAGTTAAGGTATAGGACCTGCAACTGCAAGGTTGTTAGTTCAACTCCTCAGTAAAGCCAGTCACTAAATTAGTGAAATTTCTTGAGGGAATTTAAAAGCTAAGGAAAAACCAATAAGGTTGTCTAGCTCCTGGCCTTGTACCCCCCTCCAATGCATAACAGCCAACTTCAAGTTGGGTTCTCAGGCCAATATGGGTTAAAATTAACCCCTGAAAACCTCTGCTCTTTATGTAAACTAAAATGGCCATCTTTTGGAGTTGGGTAGCCAAATACTAAGACCTACAACCCCAAAATTACCCAGGCTGTATAAAAAATAGTCGCAGAAACTCCTAAATACCCTGGCCAGTTTCCGTACATCAACCAATAGTTGAATGTAGTCCAACAACCACCCCCACACCCCCACCACCATGGCTAAAGCACTGCATAAAACAGGCTAAACTTCAGGTCATGTTAGCTGGCCCAAAGAAGGCCCCTACCATGCTGACCATTCTCCCCGCTCCAGAACAAAAATCTAGAATTACCTCCACCTTACTTTAAACTCTCTGAACAGGGGTCCCAGCATCCCTCCCCAGACAGCACTGGTAGCCAGCCCTTGTCCCCACTCCACACCCGTAGTGGGACTCCATACCCATATCCCTCCAAGAGGCGCCCCCAATGGAAGGAGGTAGCCAGCTGGGGCTGCCCCTTCTTCATCCACATCCCCTTCTCCTCTAGGAATTTATACAATTGAAAGGCTCAACACCCTCTGTTTTCTAAAAGGCCCCAGGCACTCACAGGGCTCCTAGAGTCTGTTTTACAAACCCATCACCCCACCTGGGATGATTGCCAACAATTGCTTCTAGTACTATTTACTGCAAAAGAAAGGAGCAGAATTAGACAGGAGGCCCATAAGGCCATCATTAGGACAGGGGCAGGCTCAGCGGAGAACCACCGGTAGCAAATGAATAAAACTTTCCCTTCCACGCGACCCCAGTAGAATCCAAACACCTTGGCGGGTCTACAGGCTCTGAACAATTTTCACCGGTACCTATTAAAAGGGGTTAAGGAAGTGGCCTGCAAGCCCATTAACCTCTCCAAGGTAGGAACTGTAACTCAGGGTCTGCAGGAGTCACCGGCTGCCTTCCTTGAGTGTCTACAAGATGCTTATCGCACCTACACTCCTGAATGTCTAGGCAGAAGTCTGCTACAGGGGTGGAGCCCTTATGGAGAACCTCTACCATGATAGTGAGGAAGGAAAACGTGGGGTTGGAGCCCTCACACAGCGGGGCACTGCCTAGTGGAGCTGTGAGGAGAGAACAACCATCCTCTAGAACCTAGAATGGTAGATCCACTGATGGCTTGCACTGTGCACTGGAAATGCTGCAGGCACTCAATGCCATGGAAGCAGCCATGGAGACTGTGTCCTGCAGAGCCACAGGGGCAGAGCTGACCAAGGCCTTGGGAGCCCATTCCTTTCATCAGTGTGGCCTGGATTTGAGACATGGAGTCTTGCATTGGCACCTGTATCCCCTTTGTTCTGGTCAATTTCTTTTTTTTGCAATGGGAGTATTTAGCACATGCATGCACCCCCATTTTATCCTGGAAGTAAATAACCATTTTTTATTTCACTGGCTCATAGGTGGGAGGGATTTGCCTTGTCTCAGATGAGATGCTGGACTATGGACTTTTGAGTTAATGGTGAAATGAATTAAGACAGGGGATTGTTGAGAAAAGTGGATTGTATTTTGCAACGTGAGAAGGACATGAGATTTGGGAGACATCAGGGGCAGAAAAATATGGTTTGGATTTGTGTTCCTGTTCAAATCTCGTGTTAATGGTAATTCCCAGTGTTGGAGGAGGGGCCTTGTGGGAGGTAATTGGATCATGAGGGTAGATTTCCCCCTTGCTATTCTCATGATAGGGAGTGAGCTATCATGAGATTTGGTGGTTAATAACTGTGTAGCACCTCCCCCTCCTTTAGTATTCTCCCTCCTGCTTTGGCCATGTAAGACTTTGCTTTTTGGGGAGGGCTGCCAGTGGAATTGTGGAAGGACTATAGCGAGACAGAAACTTCCAGCTGAACTTTGTAAAAATTTTGGCTGAGCATGCATTTTCCAGGGCAGAATTCAGGGCTGGGGGCAAACAGGAAGTGCACATTCGAACACAGAAGCCATGGCAGGTGGGAAGGGGTGAAGTCTGAAAGCCATATCTGCTTTCTCAGCAGGGAGGCTTATAGCCTGGGACAAGAACTCAGCCCTGCATACCAGCTACCTGGATACAAATCTAGTACTTTGGTGGAGCATGGTGGAAGTGAGACTGGCCTTGCTGGCTGCATGGGAGCTGTCTGAGGCCCATTATGGCTAACTTTCCCCCACTTCCCTGGTGACTTGTATGATGGAGCAGAGGCAGCCATAATCCCTCTGGGAACATAACTCCACTGGCCTGAGAACCACCAACCCCCACAGTGGCTGCAGCAAATCTTGCCCAAAGAGAGTCTGAACTCAGATATGATTAACTTTGCTCCCAACAGATGGTCTTTCTCTACCTGCCCTGGGAGCCAAATACAAAAGGCATAATCTCTTGGAAGCTCTGTGGCACTGCTCAATGCCTGAGAAATCCAAATGCTTATCTAGGCAGGCTTGTATCCCCACTATACTACCACAGCTGATGCTCTCTTGAAAGCACCATCTCCTTGCTAGTGGTCAGCAAATTCAAGCTTTTGGAGCAACTCATAGAAAATCCTTGCTTCGAAAAAGGAGAAAAAAATAGCTAATTCCACTGCCTGCAACATCCTGGATAACACAGGTCCTGAGTCTGTCCATGTGACAACCTCACTGCTAGCACAACTGGCATTTGAGAAAACCAGCACACTAAAAAAACTACAACCAAGGACCCTCACAGAGTCCACTCCACTCCCCTGTTGCCTCTGCCAGAGCAGGTGTTGCTATCCATGGCTGAGAGACCAGAAGACAAATCACATCCCAGAACACTTTGTGCACATTCCCCAGTACCAACCCGGAGCCTGGAAGCTCCACTGGGTGGCTAGACCCAGAAGAGCAATAACAATCACTTCAGTCTGGCTCCTAAGAAACCTCATCCCTAGGGAAGAGGGAGAGCAGAAAATCAAGGGATCATCCTGTGGGACGAAAGAGTCTGAGAAGCAGCTCTTGAGCCTCAGATCTTTCCTCTGACATAGTCCTGAATGAGAAGAAACCAGAAAAACAGTTCTGGTCATATGACAAAACAAGGATTTTTGCCACCTCCAAAAGGTCACATGGGCTCATCAGCAATGGATCCAAAACTTAAAGGTGTAGCAATCCTGTTTACAGTTTCTCCTGCAGGCACTTTACTGTATCTTGAAATCCATTGAAAGTATTTGGAAAAGGCATGGCTTTAGGCAAGTGTTTAATTCTTTTTGTGAATCCTCTTTTTATTTATCTTTAAAATAAAGATTGTTGCAAGATTGGATTTAGATAATACATGCATGGTATTTAATACAGAGGAGGCATTAAGCACAATAATTCCTGTTGTACAGAGCTCCACATGCAGATAGTTCAGAAGTGCTTCCCAGGACCCTGGCACTGATGCCTGTCCCTCCTGCTAAAGTTGTTTTTCTTGATGTCCAATAGCTGAATTCCAAATTCAGCACATATGCCAGAGGAATATGAGCCAAAAAAGTTGTTTTAGCTACTCATGCTGGGAATCCACGAGTCCAAGACTTGCTCAGCTAGTTCTGTATGTAAAAGGAAATGGGAGTGGCTTCTGAAAAAGCCTTTTTAATTCTGATTCAGGAGATATATTATTAAATGCTACTTGATTTTGTTCCATAGATTTTTGGGCTGAGAAGGACTTGAGAGGTAGGGTTCTGTGATCCAAAACTAGTTTCAGACTTACTCTTCTGGAAATAAAGAGGGCCCTCCTTGTGCTTATTTTTCCAGGATACTGCATTGGAAACTGAGTCAGGGACCCATTGGTGAGAAGAAAACAGTGAGTAGAATCATATTGATCTGGTCCTGGAGTTTGACAATTTCTGCTTGGCAGCAGGAGGTCTGAAGATGGGAAGGGGCCCTACTCAATTGTACTATTTTTCTCTCTCTCTCTCTTTTTTCAGACGGAGTCTCACTCTGTCACCCAGGCTGGAGTGCAGTGGCGCTATCTCAGCTCACTGCAACCTCTGCCTTCCGGGTTCAAGCAGTTCTCTGCCTCAGCTTCCCAAGTAGCTAGAATTAGAGGTACCTGCCACCACACCCAGCTGATTTTTGTATTTTTAGTAGATACAGGGTTTCACCATCTTGGCCAGGCTGGTCTTGAACTCCTGACCTTGTGGTCCACCTACTTTGGCCCCCTCGAAAGTGCTAGGATTACAGATGTGAAGCACTGTGCCTGGCCAATTTCTCTACTGGACAGAAGGATATACAACCTGGTAAGTCCTAATGGGATCAGGGGATGAAAAAGAAAAGATAATATCATCAGTGACAAAAATGCTCAGGATGAGTTTGTGAAATGAGTCGAAGATTTTTTTTTCCATACATAATTTGACTGAAAAGAAAGTTAAGTTCTTCTTAATCATGGAGAATTCCAGATAGTATGTAAGGCTTAGGAATATATCTCTGATACATTAGTGCACAGGTCCGGTGTTAGAGAAGCTTCTTTTGTTCTCACTATTCTGTTATCCAGTGACCTTTTACGCGGCTCATATCAGAGAGAATTGAAATGGTCACACCAGAACTTTTACATGAACTGTTAAAAATTCTATCTCTCTTCATTATTAAACATTTTTAGAATGTTCTAAACTGAATTCCATATAGTTAGAAATTTCTATTCCTATTTGCTATAATTGCAACAATGCAATTATACTTTTAGTTATTTTTAAATGTACAATTACTTTTGACTATAGTCATCCTGTTGCGCTATCAAATACTAGATCTTATTCAGTCTTTTTGACTACTTTTTTTTTGGACTCATTAACCATTGCCACCTCCCTCCCACATCCTAATACCCTTCCCAGACTCTGGTAACTATCATTTTACTCTATCTCTGTAACTTCAATTGGCTTAATTTTTAGCTCTCATAAATAAGTGAGAACATGAAAAGTTTGTCTTTCTGTGCTTCGCGTATTTCACTGAATGACCTCCAGTTCGGTCTATGTTGTTGGGAACGACAGGATCTCATTCTTTTGTATGGCTGAGTAGTACTCTGTTATGTATATGTGTCACATTTTGTTCACCCATTCATTTGTTGGTGGATACTTTCATTGCTTCCTGATCTTCACTATTGTGAACAGAGCTGCAACAGACATGGGAGTGCAGATATCTCTTCAATATACTGTTTTTCTTTCTTTTGGGTGTATATCCAGCAGAGAGATTGCTGGATTGTATGGCAGCTCTATTTTTAGCTTTTTGAGGAAGGTCCAAACTGTTATCGATAGAGGCTGTACTAATTTACATTCCCAAAACAGGGTACAAGGTTCCCTTTTCTCAACCTTCTCTTCAGCATATTTAGTACTTGTCTTTTGGATATAAGCCATTTTAACAGGGGTGAGACATCTCATTGTAGTTTTGATTGATATTTTTCTGATAATTAATAATGTTGAGTACCTTTTCATATGCCTGTTTTTCACTTTTATGTATTCCTTTGAGAAATGTCTATTCAACTCTTTTGCCAGTATTTTAATCTGATTATTAGATTTTTTCCTATAGAGTTGTTTGGGCTCCTTATATTTTCTTGTTATTAATCCCTTATCAGATGGGTAGTTTGCAAATATTTCCTCCCATTCTGTGGGTTGTTTTTTTCTGTTGTTGATTGTTTCCTTTGCTGGAAGGAAGCTTTGTAACTTGAGGAGATCTGATTTGTCAATTTTTGTTTGGTTGCCTGTGCAGCCAACAGTGCAGCCTTTCTCCATTGCTTGTTTTTGTCAGAGTTTTCACAGATCAGATAGCTGTAACAGACAAGCAATGAGAAAAGACTGCATGTTGGCTGCATGTTATGTCTTCTTCATTCAATAAATTGTGCTGGGATACCTGACTAGCCATAGGCAGAAGATTGAAACTGGACCATTTCCTTACACCATACACAAAAATCAACCCAAGATGGATTAAAGACTTAGATGTAAAACCCAAAAGTATAAAAAAACTCTAGAAGACAACCGAGGCCAGGCGTCCCCAAACTTTTTATACAGGGGGCCAGTTTACTGTCCCTCAGACCGTTGGAGGGCCACCACATACTGTGCTCCTCTCACCGACCACCAATGAAAGAGATGCCCCTTCCTGAAGTGCGGCAGGGGGCCGGATAAATGGCCTTGGGGCCGCATGCGGCCCACCAGCCATAGTTTGGGGACGCCTGACCTAGGCAATACCATTCTGGACAGAGGAACTGGCAAAGATTTCATGATGATGCCAAAAGCAATCACAATAAAAGCAAAAATTGACAAATGTGATCTAATTAAACTTAAGAGCTTCTGCACAGCAAAAAAGCTATGAACAGAGCAAACAGGCAACCTATAGAATGGGAGAAAAGTTTTACAAACTGTGAATCTGACAAAGGTCTAATATCCAGCATCTATAGGAAACTTGAACCAATTTATAAGAAGAAAAAACCCCATTAAAAAGTGGGCAAACAACATGAACAGACACTTTTCAAAAGAAGACATACATATGGCTAACAATCATGTGAAAAAAGCTCACCATCACTGATCATTAGAGAAATGCAAACCAACACAACAGTGAGATACTATCTCACACCAGTCAGAATGGCTATTACTAAAAAGTAAAAAAAATAAAATAACAGATCCTGGCAAGGTTGAGGAGAAAAAGGAATGCTTCTACACTGTTGATGGGAAAGTAAATTAGTTCAACCATTGTGAAAGACAGTTTAGTGATTCCTCAAAGTCCTAAAGACAGAAATACCATCTGACCCAGCAAGCTCATTACTGGGTATATACCCAAAGGAATTGAAATCACTTTATAGTAAAGACACATATGAGTATATTTATTGCAGCACTATTAACAATAGCAAAGACAGAATCAACTTAAATACCCATAAATTGTGGACTGGTTAAAGAAAATATGGTACATATGCCTCATGGAATACTATGTAGTCAAGAAAAGAACAAGATCAAGAACAGCTCCCAATGGAGCTGGCAGCCCTTATCCTTAGCAAACTAACGCAGAAACAGAAAACCAAATATCTCATGTTTTAACTCATAAGTGGGAGCTAAATGATGAGAACACATAGGTTCATGGAGGGACCAACGCATATCCTCTACTGGAAGGTAGAGGATGAAGTGTGGGAGGAGGGAGAAAATCAGGAAAAGTAATCAATGGGTACTAGGCTAAATACCTGGGTGAAGAAATAATCTGTACAAGACACCTCAGTAACAGGAGTTTACCTATATAACCAGCCTGCACATGTGCATTTGAAACTAAAATGACCCCTTAAAGTAAAATAAAATAAAACAAATTAAAATAAATCTCTCTCTGAAAAAGAAAGAAGAATTTCCCTGACCTTTTAGTTGTTGTAGCCGAAAACCAAAATCTCTCTACCACAGGTTTTGAGAGCATCAGGCACCATTCATTTATAATACCACTCATGATTTATGAATATGCATGTGCTCACTAGTAAAATCATTTGGTGAATATTTGTCTTTATCATTATGCTGTAAGCCCCAAGAGATTAGAGGCTGTTCTTATGTTGCTCACCACTATATTGCCAATTCCCCAGAGAGGGCCTAGCATCTAATGTGTGCTTATTTAATGTTTGCGGAATGAATGAGTAAACAGGCAAATCAACAAATTGATTAGTGAAGAACCAATTTCCCTGGAATTGTAGCAAACCATCCTTTTCATAGATGTTGTCTCTACCTTCACTGTAGACTAGGACCTGATCACTTCTCATCACTTTGAGTGCAATGCCCTGGCCTCATCTCTCACTAACGATTACCTGTAGTATCACAAAACTGCCCTAACTAGACTCCCACTTCTGTCTGTACTCCCTTACTGCATGCTATTGTCAACACAGCCACCATAGGCATCTCTCTTCAAAAGATGCATCACATATGTCACTTGTGTGCTCAAATCCCTCTAAAGACTTTTAATCTCACCTCAAGTAAAAGAGAGTGACGAAAATGACCAAAAGGGCCTTCACCAATTTGCCCTCAGTTTCTTCTGACCTCATCTTCTTTCCTTTCCACCTCACTTATTCCAGGCATGCATTGCTTCCAAGTCCTTGCACTTGCTGATTTCTCTACCTGGTATTTTCTCCACGTAATGTTCATTGTTTATACCCTGCCTCCTCTACATTATTGTTCAAATGTCACTTCTCAGTGTGGCTTTCTCTGTAAAATTGCAAACACCAACATAATGTCTACCACTACTCATGTCATCTTAACATAAGCCCTGCCTTCCCTCTGGTCCTTTAGTTGATGATAGTATTCAGCTCTTCCTTATTCCCGTTATTTAGAGTATTCCCAGATTAGAGGTGAGGAGATACCCAGGCTTTCCTACTCCAACCACAAGGGGCAATGAATTTCACTGCAGTGCCTCTGTTAGAAGCCCAAATTGTCTTTAGAATCCCAAAGTTGGAAGCCAGTTGTGGTGGTGTGTGTCTATAATCCCAGATGCTAGGTAGGATGAGGTGGGAGAATCACTCGAGCCCAAGAGTTCAAGATCAGTCTGGGCAACATGGCAAGACCCCATCTCAAAAACAACAAAAAAATGAACTCGAAGTTGAGAAAGTTACAATGTAGTCACTATTTTAAATTAAGACCTGCTAATCTCATACGTAGATCTTTTCCTTTAGGGGAAATATCAGTAATTGGTGAGAGTTTAACCATTTTCTTCTCCTCCCAACTGAACTTTGTGTTCTTCTTTCATCTCCCCTAGCAACAAGTTCTCTATGTTCCAACGCATTAGCAAAAGTTTGGTCAAAGAGGTTGGAAAAGATGACCTGACGCCTGTCAAATGCCTAACCCATGCCACCAAATTACGTCAGTTTGCTGTATTACAAAAGATGAACTATTCTCGTTCATTGTTTTGGGAAAAGTGTGACTATATTCCACTTGACTTCTCCCTCAGTGACATCCTGGAGTCAAGTTCTTCAGTCCCAGGTATCATCATCCAGAGACCAAGGAAATGAGGGGTAAAAAATATTGCTGGTCAGAGAGAGAGATGGCCCAGCATCCAAAAATAACTGAGTGTACCCCAAAAGGAGCTCTCAGGACCAGTGTTGCCTGTAGGCAAGGGGCAAGGAGCAAGACAAACTGAGACAAATTGAGAATCCTACTAATTGTCTGGTCGTAGGTGTTCATTAGGTCATTTGGTATTTGCTTCAGGGTCATGAGATGAAGATGTTATTCCCACTTTACATAAGAGTAAGTAGAATGCTATACAATTATCTGTTCAAAGTTATGTACCTGAGGGCTGGGCACTGTGGCTCATGCCTTTAATCCCAGCACTTTTGGGGGCCGAAGTGGGCAGATCACTTGAGGCCAGGAGTTTGAGACCAGCCTGGCCAACATGGCAAAACTCTGACTCTATTAAAAATACAAAAAAAAAAAAAAAAAAAAAAAAAAAAAATTATCCAGGCATGGGTAGTCCCAGCTACTCGGGAGGCTGAGGCACAAGAATTGCTTGAGTCCAGAAGGTGGAGGTTGCAGTGAGCTGAATTGTACCACTGCACTCTAGCCTGGGTGACAGAGTGAGGCTCTGTCTCAAAACAACAAAAACATACAACAACAACAATTAAACAAAAAACAAAGTTATGTACCTGGGAACTGGTAGAACTGAGATCCAAACCCAGGTCTGTCTGACTCCATATCTTAAACATTTTCTGCTCCTGTGTGCTGCCCTCTGAGGCTGGGTGCTGTACCTGCTGCAGAGGAGACAGCGTGCCTGGAAGGATAATCCTATGGGTATTCCACATTGTACGTTTGACACCAGTTTCTCAGGGCGAATATTCTATCTCTGTCACACAGTGCCCAGTGGATTTAAACATTTTCCCTCTGTGGTAATTTACATTCACATTAATTGATTAGTTATTTACCAACAGAGTTTTAAATGAGTAGGAGGGTTGGGGCAAAATAGGTCTTTATTACTTCATTTTACATACCAGCTGTTCTTGGTTAAACCTATGAATTCTTGAATGGATTCTTGGCTAAACCTATGGCCATCTTTTCTTTCCCCAGATAATGATGTGAATGGACCATTATATTTCGGTGATACTATGATCCAGAAATGTGAGGCTGGCATAGGTGTGAACGTTGGTGGAGAATTGAGTGTGTCAGGGGAGGCCTCTGCAGACCAGGGAGGCTCCCTCGGGTATCAGATTGTGACCATCTCAGCTCCAAACCTGGAAGGCTTTCAAAAAAGGTGAGGCCATGGGAGAGGAAGGGGATGGATCAACCCAGGGGGTGCTTTCCTTGTACATAAAAATGCATCTAGCAGGACTTGTTGCAGGGATCAAAATCAAGATGACAACATCCCAGATTTTGCTACTCTTCTTGAGTATTCATACCTTCTGTTACTCAAGTAATACTTACTAGTTACCTAACAAATACTTACCAGAGCAGTAATTACCCACTACTGTGTTGTTATATTCTGGGGACAGAATGAAAACAAGACAGATATAAATACCTGTCATATTTAAGAGAGAAAATAAGCAATAAAAAATAAATTAACAAAGTATTAATTTAAGTGTGATAAATTAAAACTGTTTAAATAACATGTACATTACTGTCTTTGGATTTATTTTTATTATTTTCAGCTGTATTGAGGTATAGTTGACAGATAAAATTGTATGAATTAAAGGTGTATAATGTGATGATTTGATGTATGTATATATTGTGAAAAGACCACAATAAAATCAGTTAACATGTCTATTACATCACCTAGTTATCTTTTTTTTTGTGGTGAGAACATTTAATATCTACTCCCTTAGCAAATTTCAAAGATACAATATAATATTGTTAATTATAGTCTGTGTACCCTTTGACCAATGTCCCTCCATTTTCCCAACTTCCTAGTCCCTGTTAACCACCATTATATTTTGTTTCTATAAGTTTGACTTTTTCAGGTTCCACGTATATGTGAGATTATAAAGTATTTGTCTTTCTCTGTCTGACTTTTGTTTAGCATAATGCCATTCAGGTTTATCCATGTTGTTGCAAATAGCAGGGTTTCTTTCTTTTCTATGGCAGAATAGTATTTCATTGCATACACATACCACAATTTCTTTTTCCATTCATCTGTTGACAGGCACTTAGGTTATTTTGGTATCTTGGCTATTGTGAATAATGTTGCAATGAACATGGAAGTGCAGATATGTCTCTGAGCTACTGATTTAGTTTTCATTGGCTGTATACCCAGAAATAGGATTGCTGGATCATATGGTAGTTCTATTTTTAGTTTTTTGAAGAACCAACATACTATTTTTCATATGGCTATATCAATTACATTCCCATCAATAACATACAAAGATTTCCTTTAATTCACATCTTTGCCAACACTACTCTTTTTGTAAAAGCTATCCTAACAGACGCAAAGTGATGTCTCATTGTGGTTTTGATTTGTATGTCTCTGATAAGTAATGTCGAGCACCCTTTAATGTGCCTGTTAGCTGTATGTATGTCTTTTTTGGAGTAAATATTTATTTAGGTCCTTTGCACATTTTTTTTTTTTGGAGATAAGTCTTGCTCTGTTGCCCAGGCTGGAGGGCAGTGGTGTGATTTTGGCTCACTGCAACCCCCACCTCCTGGGTTCAAGCAGTTCTCCTGCCTCAGCCTCCCTAGTAGCTGGGACTAACAGGTGCACCCTGCCACACCTGGCTAATTTTTTATTTTTATTTTTAGAAGAGACAGGATTTCGCCATGTTGCCCAGGCTGGTCTCGAACTCCTGAACTCAGTCCTCCTGGATTGGCCTCCTAAAGTGCTAGAATTACAGGCATGAGTCACCCTGCCCGGCCGCCCATTTTTTAAATCAAGATTTTTGTTTTTGCAATTTAGCTATATGAGTTCCTTATACATTTTAGATATTAACCCTTTATCAGGTATATGGTTTGCAAATATTTTGACCACTCTGTAGGTTGCATTTTTATTCTGTTGATTGTTTTCTTTGCTGTGCAGAAATTTTTAGTTTGCTAGAGTACCACTTACTTTTTCTTCTGCTGCTGGTGTTTTGGTGTCATATCCAAAAAATTGTTGCCATACCCAATCTTGAGGACATTTTCCCCCCCTTTTTCTAAAAATGTTTTAAGGTTCCATGTCTTATATTGACATTTCTAATCTACTTTGTTGATCTTTGAGTGTGATACAAGGTAAGGACCCAGTTTTAGTCTTTTGCATTCGAAAAGTCTTTTGCATGTGAAAAGTCTTCAGTCTTTTGTTGAGAAAACTGGATGGTTTCCTCAACACCATTTTTTGAAGAGTCTATCCTTTGTCCCACAGTCTATTCTTGTCATGCTTGTCAAATATTGGTTGATTATACACATATGAGATTATTTCTTGGCTATCTACTCCACTGGTTTATATGTCTTTTTATGCAAGTTCCATACCCCACTGGTTTATATGTCTGTTTTTATGCAAGTGCCATAAGTTTTAACTTCTACAGCTTTGTAATATACTTTGAAATCAGGAAGTATGGGATGTCTAGCTTTGTTCTTTTTTTAAAATATATTTTTTATTGTACTTTAGATTCTGGGGTACATGTGCAGATCATGCAGAATTGTTGCATAAGTACATACATGGTAATGCGGTTTAGTGCCTCCATCCCCATGTCACCTCTATCTGGCATATCTCCCCATGTCATCCCTCCCCTACCTCCCTACCCCCCTACTGTGTCTCTCCTAGTTCCCCCCAACAGACCCCAGTTTGTGATGTTCCCCTCCCTGTGTCCATGTGTTCTTATTGTTCAATACCCGCCTATGAGTGAGAACATGTGGTGTTTGATTTTCTGTTGTGTCAGTTTGCTGAGAATGATGATTTCCAGTTTCATCCATGTCCCTATAAAGGACACAAACGCATCGTTTTTCATGGCTGCATAATGTTCCATGGTGTATATGTGCCACATTTTCCTTGCCTAGTCTATCATCAATGGGCATTTGGGTAGTTCCAGGTCTTTGCTATTGTAAACAGTGCCACAATGAACATACATGTAGATGCGTGTTTATAATAGAATGATTTATAATCCTTTGGATATATACCCAGTAATGGGATTGCTGGGTCAAATAGAATTTCTATTTCTAGGTCCATGGGGAATTGCTACACTGTCTTCCACAATGACTGAACTAATTTACAGTTCCGCCAACAGTGTAAAAGCATTCCTGTTTCTCCACATCCTCTGCAGCATCTGTTGTCTCCAGATTTTTTAATGATTGCCATTCTAACTGGTGTGAGATGGTATCTCAATGTGGTTCGATTTGCATTTCTCTAATGACCAGTGAGGATGAGAATGTTTTCATATGTTTGTTGGCCTTATATATGTTTTCTTTTGAAAAGTGGCTGTTCATATTCTTTGCCCAATTTTGAATGGGTTTGTATGTTTTTTTTCTTGTAAATCTGTTAGTTCTTTGTAGATTCTGGATATTAGCCCTGTGTCAGATGGGTAGATGGCAAGAATTTTTTCCCATTCTGTTGGTTACTGGTTCACTCTAATGATTGTTTCTTTTGCTGTACAGAAGCTCTGGAGTTTAATTAGATCCCATTTGTCTATTTTGGCTTTTGTTGCCAATGCTTTTGGTGTTTTAGTTATCAAGTCCTTGCCTATGCCTATGTCCTGAATGGTTTTGCCTAGGTTTTCTTCTAGGGTTTTTATGGTATTAGGTTTTATGTTTAAGTTTTTAATCCATCTGGAGTTAATTTTAATGTAAGATGTCAGGAAGGGGTACAGTTTCTGTTTTCTGCACATGGCTAGCCAGTTATCCCAACACCATTTATTAAACAGAGAATCCTTTCCCCCTTGCTTGTTTTTGTCAGATTTGTCATTACCTTAGCCTTGTAGTATAGTTTGAATCACAGGTAACGTGTTGCCTCCAGGTTTGTTCTTTTTGCTTAGGATTGTCTTGGCTATGCAGGCTCTCTTTTGGTTCCATATGAAGTTTAGTGTTTTTTTCCAGTTCTGTGAAGAGGGTCATAGGTAGCTTGATGGTGATACTGTTGAATCTGTAAATTACTTTGGGCAGTATGGCCATTTTCACAATATTGATTCTTCCTTATTTTCCATCTGTTTGTGTCCTCTCTTATTTCCTTGAGCAGTGGCTTGTAGTTCTCCTTGAAGAGGTCCTTTACATCCTTTGTTAATTGTATTCCTAGTATTTTATTCTCTTTGTAGCAATTGTGAATGGGAGTTTGCTCTTCATTTCATTCTCTTTTAGTCTGTTATTGGTGTATAGGAATGCTTGGGATTTCTGCACATTGATTTTGTATCCTGAGACTTTGCTGAACTTGGTTGTCAGTTTCAGAAGATTTTGGGTTGAGGCAATGAGGTCTTCTAAATATACAATCATGTCGTCTGCAAATAGAGACATTTTGACTTCCTCCTTTTCTAATTGAATACGCTTTATTTCTTTTTCTTGCCTGATTTCTCTGGCTAGAACTTCCAATATTTTATTGAATAGGAGTGGTGAGAGGGGGCATCCTGGTCTAGTGCCAGATTTCAAAGGGAATGCTTCCAGTTTTTGCCCATTCAGTATGATATTGGCTGTGGGTTTGTTGTAAATAACTTTTATTATTTTGAGATACGTTCCATCTATACCTAGTTTATTGAGAGTTTTTAGCATAAAGCCTGCTGAATTTTGTCAAAGGCCTTCTCTGCATCTATTGAGATGATCATGTGGTTTTTGTCATTGGTTCTGTTTATGTGGTGGATTATGTTTATAAACTTGTGTATGTTGAACCAGCCTTGCATCCTTAGGATGAAGCCTACTTGATCATGATGGATAAGCTTTTTGATGTGCTATTGCAATCGGTTTGCCAGTATTTTATTGAATATTTTAGCATCTATGTTCATCACGGATATTGGCCTGAAGTTTTCTATTTTTGTTGAGTCTCTGCCAGGTTTTGGTATCAGGATGACGTTGGTCTCATAAAATGATTTGGGAAGGATTCCTTCTTTTTGGATTGTTTGGAATAATTTCAGAAGGAGTGGTACCTATCTGGACCCGGGCTTTTTTTGGTTGGCAGGCTATTAATTGATGCCTCAACTTTAGCTCTCGTTATTGGTTTATTCAGGGTTTCAAATTCTTCCTGGTTTAGGCTTGGGAAGATGCAAGTGTCTAGGAATTTATACATTTCTTCCAGATTTACTGGTTTATGGGCATAGAGTTGTTTGTAGTAATCTTTGATCATAGTTTGTATTTCTGTGGAATTGGTGGTGA